CGGATCAGTTTGTGGTGTCATACCAAAGCCACATGTGAATTTTAAATGAGGAGGAACATTAGGACGGAGGACTAGATTAGACAGGAGTCTTTTTGTTACAATTGAAGAAACTCAAACTTCTTTAAGGAAATTATTAAAACTCATCAGTTCATGCAAACTTGCCTGGATCTAGTAGCTCACAGTAACAGCCTATCTCAATAGAAACCATAATGAGATAATACTCGGCTCTAATTAAAATGGCTAATATTAAAACCAAACAAAAATAATGAAGATAACTGTTGGAGGAGTCTGGATAAACTGATGTAATGTTTTTAGGAATGTAACATGTTATAAATACTATGGGAAACAATATCATGATTCTTCAAAAAATTGAAATCAGATCTATTTATGTTCTAACAACCCCACTTCTCCATGCACAGCCAAAGAATTGAAAGTAGAGTCTTTAAGAAATATTTGCACACTTAGATTCATAACAGCATTATTCACTAGAGCTAAGAGGTAGGTGCAAACCAAAGGTCTACTGTTAGAGAAAAGAAGAAACAAAATGTGATATATGCATACATAGTGTATGGTCATACAATCTTAATGAAAAGAAATTCTGACACGTGTTATAACATAGATGGATCATGAAGAAATTATACCAGGAAAAATAAGCTAATCACAAAAACGTGAATATTATATGATTCGTCTCTCCTAAGGTGTCTGAAGTGGTTAAATTCATCGAAACAGAATGTAAAATTGGAGTAATAAGAACTGAGGTGAATGGAGAATGGTGAATTTTAGTTTAAGGGTATAGAGATTTAAACTGGTTTGGTGGCACATAACAATAATTCCAGTACTCTGAGAGGCTAAAGCAGAAGAATCACAGTGTGAGCCTGACCTGGACAACTTAGCAAGTTTGTGAGAAATTTTCTCAAAATGAATAATGGAAAAGGGCTGGAGGTACATCTCAGTGCATCTAGGGTTAATTGCTTATACAAAAGGGAGGGGGGCCAGGGGATACATACATCTGTTTTCAACAAAATCAGAGTTTTAAAGATTAATGAATGTGCTAATATACTTCACACTACTGAATTGTACATTTAAAAATGGTTATAGTAGTAAATTCTGTGTTTTTTTACAATTAAAAATCAACTTATTTTAAAAGGTGTAGGGTTTTTCATTAATCTACCAGAAAAGATTGTATCTTCTTTCCTGATGGGTTCTGTAAAAGCTCAAGGAAGAAAAGTATTAATTGGAGATCTCAGAGACCTGTGGGCAGGGTTAAATTGGAATTGGAAAAGAAACAACCCTAGGAGCACATACAATCCTTTTAAAACCACATACAGCAACACATCTAGGGTGTGGGAATTGTGGTTTGTCTAAATATATGCATTAGGTGTTGCAACCTATTTGCAAGGGTAAATTCTATTTTGGCAAGGAATTTGATCAAAGCTTTGAGTCTTCTAAGATGTGATTGCTTTTGTTTTTGATAGCTTCCCAATTTTTCCTTTCCAAAATGGCAATTTTTCTGGATTTCTTTTTGCGTTTGTTTTTTATTGTTTTCTGGTACTGGGAATCAAACTCACTACCTTGCGCTTGCCAGGCAGGCACTGTGCCTCTGAGCTAAACCCCCAGCCCCTAAAATGGCAGTTTTTCTAATGGGTAGACAATGTGAACGTTCATTCAACAAATCATTCCAAGTGCTCATTTGTGTCAGACACTGTGCAGAGAGCTAAGAATTAGAAAATTTAGTGTTAAAAGTCATAGACCTGGCAAGTCCATTTTATTGCAAGGTAAAAACAAGTAAAGCAATAGCTGTAGAATAACATCATTATCGACATTAATAGAAATGTGAACCAAGAGTAATAACAGTGCATAAAAGGGACGCCTTAGTTTTCTGGGGAATGAAGAACCTGAGGATGATTGGGGAAGACAGCTGCAGCTTTTGATCCAAATCATCAGTAAATAAGACTCTAACTATGAAGTTAAAAAGCAGGTAAAATGGGGACAAGAGAAGTTTAAAATGAGGGGACATTTCAAGTAGCATGTGCAAGGGCCAACAGATGAGAAAGCAAATCATATTCAAATATATTCAAAGAGTGGAATGTGCAAGGAAAATAGAAACCAGAGAAAAACAGCGCCAGGAGTGGGAACCAGACCCAGAATGCTCTTATTTAAAAGCAGTATAGATTTTATTCTGAGAGTTCTGAAGATTCACTGGTGAACACAAAAAAGAAACATTAAATTCAAGTAATTAATATTTTAGAGAGTGATGTGAATTTCCCATCATAGAGTAATTATTCTACATTGCCGTGGGTGAGATGTTAATGTTTTCTGATTTCAGATATTGGTCTTCCTCCATATTTCCTGTGCCTTTCTCCAGAACCCGGAGTACCTGATAGATATGTTACCTCAGGTGATCGGAATAAGCTAACCATCTCTTTCCATCATAGCAAAATATCCAAATTGCTAAAACTCCTCCAAAAGATAAACAGCTTTCTCATAGCTACACCAAATCTCCTTGACTTGCATATAATGGAAGCCCAAGCCCAATGTCAGATTTTAAAATTTTTGTCGTATCTAGCCTGACTTTCAGAACATAAAAATAAAACTATGGTCACTAAGCCTTAAAAACAGTCTTAAAACATTAAAGCACATTTAATTTTGGATCCCTCAACATATTTTTAAGCATCTTAATTTTTTTCCTTGCATTATGTATTTTGAGGTCTTAAACTTACTTAAAACATCCTTTGTGGTACATTTTAAGAAACTATTACTTGAATTCCTTTATTTGTCCAGTAACAACATTTTCAGGACACTCTCCTGTGAACACCCAGATTCATGTATCCTTAAAATCTTGAAAAGAAAATTAGGTAGAAATTTTTCAGTAACATTAGATGATGGTAACTTAATATGTTATATGGAGGGGAAGAACTCAATTCAAACTAAAAGAATTATTCCATTGATCCGTAGGTAGGTCAGACAATTCAAGAATCAAAATTCAGATGTAAAAGTTAAATTGATGTTCTTTATTTGATCTTTTAGAAGCTTTTGATTATTTAACATGTAATGGAATTTATGTGAGTTGATAACTTATTTGTTTTCAAACCTTAAATTAGTTATTCATTGAGCATGGTAGATATAATGTGCTTTTCACCAATATAATGTATCATAAATCTACAGTACTTTACCATTTACTTTAAAGTCAGCAAAGCAAGCAAAATACTCTTACAGTATTTTATGTAGTCAGCACTGGCCTTCCAAACTTATCAGAGACTGAATATGTCATTCTACTTGAGACTGAGTAAAATGTACATAATCTGGGGCCCTACATTAAACATCTGTGGCAGAATTACCTTGTAAAAGTTATTTTAATGTGCACTTAAGGATTTTTATTTCATACATGATAATTATACATATTTATGGTGTATATTGTGATGTTTTGATGCATGTATATAGTTTGTAATGGTTAAGTTAAGGTAATTGGCCTATCCATCACTTTAAACATGTATAAATTATTTGTGATGAGAATGCTGAAATCTTTTCTTCTAGCTATTTGGGAATATACAGTACATTATGATTAACAATATTCACCCTGCCATGAAATAGCACACGAGAGCACATTACTCTTGGCCAACTGTAGCCCTATACACATAAACCACCATCTCCCGCCCCTCATATCCTTCCTTTGTTTCTGGCGACTAATATCCTACACTCATGTTCTACGAGTTCAACTTTCTGTTGCAGAATTTCTAAAGTGATATTGTCAGTAGCATTTCAAATGAATAATTACCAAACAAAAATCATACTATTTCCTCAAGCTTAGTACAGCAATTAAATAGATACGAATTTGTATTGAAAGTTAAAATTTTAATGTGGTAAATTCTACTGAAAATACACTTCTAAAATACATATTAAAAATGAATCAAGAACTGAAGCATTCTGTTGTCTTAATATTTTGGTTATGATTTTAAAATGTAACTTCATTCTAATGTAAAAATTCTGAAGATTTTAGCCAAATCCTCATAGTTGCTATAAAAACCCATAAAAATTTATTGGCAAATTAAGTCTAATGGGAACATCAGTATTTCTATTTTCAGGAAAAAAACATTCAAAGCTAAGTACACTTTTTATTTATCTTACTTTCATCACATAGAAGCTTGTATTTAAATTAGACTAATGTTACTTTGAAAAATCTGAATCTCTATTTCAGGTTAATACTTTCTATTTAAATGAATTATTTAGCCAAAGGTTACATATTAAGAAATACTCTACAGTTCTACCTAATATACATAACCAATTATGTTAGCATTCAGGAAAAGGATTGCTATTAAATGGTTAACAAAGAGACATTGAACTGTGGCTTTATCATTTTTATCTCTACTACACTGCAAATATAAGGAGGGAAAAATAGGGTAAGTAGCCATGTTTTCTTTTATTAGTTACTTATTTTACTTTAATTCACAGTGAGTTTCACATACTGTGAAATGTTATAAGCAACCTTAGATTGTTTCATGCAGTGATGATATAGTTAAGCAGCTCTTGTAAGTAAATTTGTCAAGTTTCATTCATTTTGGATCCAGAGATCAGAAAACTTCACATTCTCCTGGGAGTTGATAGGTTAAAAAAAAATTACTTGTTCCAATTGGAGTGATGGTAAACATAGATGAGGGTCAGAATCTTGATTTTTTAGCTAAAATAGATTTCTACAAGGAGAGAAGTGATGCTAATAAAAGATAAATAAAATTTTAAAATAAAATATTCTTACAAGTATAAATTATCCCCATTCCAATAATAGAAGTAGTTTATGTAGGTTATTTTATGTATATGTAACATAAATTGTAGTGAGGAAATTTTACCAAGTTAAATTTCAAAGAAGAAAGTTGCGGTTTATAAATTGCTACCTGAGAAAATTTTTTCAGATAACCTCAAGTTTCTGTAGCACAAATTGGCTTTAGAATTATAGTAAGATTTAGTAATGTTGAATAATGACCCCTCCAATCTCAGCTCATCTTTACCTCTCACAAAAGGGAGTCTTTTTGTGTTTTTTCTCTTTCTGAAATTTGATCACTAGTAAATCAGCAGGCAATACACTGAACCAGCAAAAGAACCTTCTCCCCAAAATTTAAAGAACTTTGCTCTATGTACAGTCACAAAGGATAATAGCTAGTAGAATTCTAGCATCCTGTTATCATCGAGCTAATGATTCATTGGACATTCTAATCTGTCTCATGTTTTTTGATCAAGCCTATTGTCTTCCTGCCAGTTAAGGCAGAAGATAAAACAGAGAGGATAAGACAGATAAGGTATAGTCATACTCTACTAAAATAGTTTTTGAATTAGAAAAGTGAAGAGAAGTGCTTTGAATGTATTGTCATATTTTTTTCATATAGAATAAGCTAAGGAGATAACTTAAAAGAAGAAAAAAACTAAACATTAACATATGATTCAAAACATTCACCATTGCTACCTTTGCAGGTTTCAGCGTAAAACTCTCAAAACAGGTCTCCATCCACTGGTTCTAGTCAGCTCTTTTCCCTGTCAGAAAGTGAGTAAACAGCATTGCCCCGAATATGCTTAAATTATTAACAAGTTATTTAACAAATATATGAGCAGTGGTCAGCTAAGGATAATAACATGGACAAAAAAAAATCGGACCTAAAAGATGTAAATTATCAGCTTCACAGTTGTAATAACAAACATCCAATTCTCTCTCTTCCGTTTGGTGTAAGAAACAGAAACATTAGCTACTTGAAATTTGACAGTTCTAATCAATGAGATTATTGTAAGATTAATTTTTATGCATTCAAAAATTTTATACATTTAAACTAGTACACAGGCGAGGTATTGTGCAAAACTATAATCCCACCATTGAAGAGGTTGAGGCAGAAGGATCTCTGAGTTCAAAGCCAGTGTGGGCTACATAGAAAATTTAAGGCCAGTCTGAACTATGTAGCAAGATGCTGCTTCAGAAAATAAAATGGAACTCAGTATTTTATAAATTACTTCATATGAAATTTTATAGAGCAAATTCAGTGGTGTTTGAGTTCATGAAGGTCAATTGTCAGATTTTCAGGAACTTTGATGATTTAATCATTACTCAGATTCAAACTATATAAACTTATATTTAAGAAACTACATTAAAATTAATAATCAGCAATAAATTCAACTTATTACTACCACATCATTTCCCTACATTTACTGTGTTGACATTATTTATAGTGATAGGATTGGTGTAGCAGTTCCATGTAATATGTTTAAGTGCTTCTAAATATTTTTTAAATCATTAAATTATTATAATTTTGACTTATTTGAATTTATAAAAATATTGTTTTGAGAAGACACTGGATGTTCTATAAACCTATCTAGTATCTGGTTACATGGTAATAATCCTTGTTTTTCTTTCCCTGAGGGCACCAGAATTTATTTTTGTGCGTGTATGTGATTTATTTTTATGTGGACTCAGTTATAACTAAGTGAGATAAAAGGAAAATCAGAAATATGAGACTTGGAAAGATTTACGACTTCAAAAATAAGAGATATTTTCAGCTCACAATGGTCCATGTTCTTAAAATAGTCATTGATACTATTTAGTCTCTCATGTACTATTCCTTTATTGAGATGTTTCTGTTTTAATCAAGTTAAATATGTATACATATACCTGCATATATAGTGTTACAAATTAAAGTCTGACAATTCTTACCTTTTTATAGTTACTGGTAGTATTAACATTCTCTAAGACAGAATTATATATTTTGCACAAGACTCATATCCTGAAAAAATGATAATTATGTTTGACTATTTTGATCTCTTGATATTATAATTGATATTGTGATGTATAAGCTTCACTACTCATTAAGTGTATCCCTCTCTAAGTTCTTCATAATTCTAGTGCGGTTCTACATTTATATTCAAGAAAAAGCCTGTTAGGAAAAATATCATTTCTAAGAAAGTACATATGTCAGTCAAATGTTTTTCCTCCTTTCAAAATGTAATATTCTGTCTATTTCATGTAGTTATATTCTCCTATTAAAGATATATTTTTACCTCAAAATATTTTCTATAGTTAAATATATCCCTATTGGACATGCTTTTTAATTTGAAAAAAAAATCAGTGTAATTTATTACACGTAAAAGTTTGAATTTCACATTTAAAATGGTCCTTAAAATATTAAAGCATTTTTATTTAAAGCAATGTCCCTCTAATGTCAAGAAGTGCTAGGAAGTTTTGATCATATGTATGAATCTTTGTAAACTGTTTGTACAAAAGTGTTACTCTTCCTTTAGCTACTGGTTTTTTACTCATTTGGAGAAATAGATAAACTCGTGTGATTATTTCATGAATGAGTTATTTATTTTTTTGGCTTGTGACAATGAAAGCCATATGAAATTTGATAGAGACAGATGATAGATAGATAAATAGATATAAATTGTTAAGGTCAAAAGTATACGAGTAACCATGTGTTGGAAAAGTATAATTGAATTCCTTAATAATGACTTATAAATTCATTTATTAAAGCTTTGCATGTATAAAACAGGCTTTTAACTTTAAGCCATAAAATAGTATATATAGGATAGTACTGTATAAATTAGCCAATGACTATCCCTTTCTGATGATAAATAGGAAGAAAAATGGAGGAAATAAAGAAAAGAAATCAAGATTATAATGTAATTAAAGAAAATTTTAACATAACTTTAGTTCTATGATGAAATTGTTTCTTTTCAAAATTTGCATTAATGTTGCATTTATATTCATCACGCCTATCATTTTGGCATTAGTGTATATTAACACTACTAACTCCTGAAAACACAGATTGTAACTTACTTTGGCTTCAAGACACAGCTCACAATTTTCTGAGAAATAGGACAATATGCATACCTCTCTGGGAGACAAAAGTCAAAGGAATATTAGCTGTAGATTAAAAAGCTGATGGTAAACCACATTTGCTCAATAATTTAGATGGTACTGGTTGCTAATATTTATTTATTTTTTTGTTTTGTTTTTTGTTTTTTGTTTTTCTCCGGTACCGGGAACCGAACTCACGACCTTGCGCTTGCCAGGCAGGCACTTTGCCGCTGAGCTAAATCCCCAGCCCCGGTTGCTAATATTTAGAACATATGCCTACATATAGTCTGCTTTAAACCTATAGTGGCCCAGTGAAAAAGAAAATATAATTTTTAAATGTATTTCAATAATCATCTGAATAATTTCACTTTTAAATTGAGAATTTTTATCCAGTGTTATTTTTTCCTATAGAGGATCCTGTGAAGACAAACTAGCACAGCATTTAAATCTGTACTTTTTATTCACTCATATGCATGTCCATTGGAGGTATTCATGTATTTTCCTTATTAATGACTTGGAATTCAAATACACAATATTTTGTTACTCCTGGATAAGCAAGGCATAGGGACAGCATTCTATTTATAAATGCATCTACTGAAAATCTGAAATTATTAGAAAGGAGGTACAAAAAAACACATGACAGTCTCATACAGAAATATTAATGTAGTGAAATATATTTAGTTTGTTACCTAAAATGTGACAGTAGTCCCTTAATCTATAAGAATAATCTCCTCTGCTGTAGCAGCAAATAAAAAGAAAGATGCATATTATGGATTCTTTGAGTATCAGCATATCACTCTGCTATAATATATCATGCTTCATTGTGACACATTTGCCCATTTGTCAGTTTCTGTCATGTTACTATATCTCAAAAGACACAACATTGCTCAACCTTTTTCTTTCTGTTTTTTAGATATAGCAAATGGACACCAAATATTTGACACTGAAAACAGAACTATTTTAAAAACCAAGTAGTCTCAGCCAAAAGCTATTTAAATGGATATTTCAAGGATGGATACCAAGGAAAGTGGCTATTTAAATGTATATTGTACAGGTTGAATACCTACTGAAATAAATGTTTCTCTTTCCTTGTGAGCATGTTGTTTGTAAATGATGAGCACCCCTTTCCCTTTTATTTGTTTGCACTCTTAAAAGTGATGATATTTCTCTTTGTCTCCTACCAAGACAAGCTGATTTAATTTTTACCAGTTTAAAAATGCTGAAATAGGGGCTGGGGATTTAGCTCAGCGGCAAAAGCGCCTGCCTGGCAAGCACAAGGTC